ATTTATGGTTTCTTCTTTGACATGCCTGCCAATAAGGGAAAGTACCTTTAGCCTAGCTTAACAAACAATGAAAAATATTGGTGTGGTTTTCTTTTTTTAGTGAGATGTTTCGCTTTTGATGGTGCTTCTGTCCTAAGCGTGCACTGGAAGTGGGGTGGAGCCTGGGGAAGGTCAAGCCAGGAAAAGATGTGAGGATCTTGCTTGAAAACCTGCATCCTGCTACCTGCTCTCTCTGTGTTCAATGGAATATTTGTATTTCAAAGGTGGATTCCTCGTTGTTGAACAAATAGGAACAAGGCATATTCTGAACAGCCCTTTCCCAAAGTTTCCTTTCTCAAAGGCTCTCCATCATGTTTGCTTTGGTGACCTGAATATTCAGCTTGTGGCTCCCATCCCATAGCAAGGCTTTGTTGCCCAGGGTTTGGGCTGCTGGATCTCAGCATCCCCTTTTGGAAATGGACATTTATCCAAGTGCAGAACAGTATTCACATGAGCTTTTTGGAAGCAGATGGGCCAATTTGGAGTCTGTTTTGCAGGAGCTGGTGCTGGCATGTTGGGTGGGAACAGGAATGCTGCCAACTCTGGGGCTCTGGTGGAGGACTTTGCTCCCGAGGACAATGCTGAGGGATCTCCATGTGCCGTGTGTGCTCTGTGAGCAGGGAAAGGGAGGAGTGAGAGGAATCTCTGGGCTGCAGGTGGGTGGGTAGGGAATGATGCCTCTGTTGGAATCAAAGATCAGAGCTTTGTCACCTTCTGCAGAGCTGGTTGTTGGAAAATGGAAAATGGAAGCCCTCCTTTTCACATGCCACTGAAAAGTAATTTTGTTTCTAAGCCTGAAATACATCCTGGTCTGGAATGATCTGTTTATCCATGTGAACCCATTCTCATTCCTTTATTTCTACTTAATGAGCGATTTAATTAAAAAGCAGCTGTTCTCTGAAGACTGGAGTCACCTCTTGCTTGCAGCATAGGGTGTACGTTGTCTCCAACCCTGCAGCACTGGAGCTGATGACATTGCTGCTTCGTGCATCTGCCCTCCAAGAGTATTAGAGCGGAGATGCTGAAGGTAGTCTGGGGGCTGCTCTTAAGGCACCTCAACCCTGGAAAAGTCCTGTGTTTTGTGTTGGTGTGGATGCTTTGGTGTCAGCCTTATCCTGGGAGCTGGTTTCTATTTACTGATTCGTGTCCAAGATGTGATACTTCACACCAGACAGCTGCTGATGTTCTTTAGAGCACTGCCTGCTGGCTCAGGCTAGGCAGCCCCTGGCAGGACAGAGCCTGAAGCAGCTGTTGGGCATTGGTGTTGTCTGGGGAGGGACAGGGATGCTGTGGGCACAGCTTGGCTGTCCCATGTCCCCGCTGTCTCTGATTTTAGCACGTTAGCTCCTCCTTGCCAGACTTTGCCTGCTCCTTTTGTTGTAACTGTGCTCACGCGGAAACCTTCAAAGGCTCCCTCCTATCAATTTTCCCTGCCATATGTTCTCATTAAGGAATTTATTGTGCACTTTATCTTAGGATTATTTGCCATCAATTAATAAAACATGTTGCAAGCTTCAAATGAACATTCTCCCCTGCCCGCTTCTCTTTAACGAGGGAAGGAGAAATATGAAAATAAATCACCATGACAGATGGTGTTTTTTAACCTTCCTTTTGCCCAATCTGGGGAAAAAGAAATTCTTAGGATATTGACATGGGTTTTTAATTATGAGTTACGTCACTCAAAGAGCTGATCCGGAGCTCACTGAGCTCACAGCCTGGATGCTGTTCATATTGTAGCATATCTGGATGCTGACAGAGGGGACTGAGGGCTGCAGGGTGATGGTGTTGGTGCAGCCATTGCAAAACCCATTTGGGAAAGCAAACGGTGCCACTGCTGCAGGGAATGACCTCCAGATGTGTTTGTTGTCGTGTTGCGTTGTGCTGGGCGGCGCTCTTGTAGGTGACGCTGTGCTGTGATGGTGGCTTTAGACAGTGGCAGTGTTTGGGGTTATTTAATGAGTTCCCAAAGGAGGAGCACATCCCTGCTGTGCCCCTTCGTGTGGAGAATGAAACCCCCAAATTAGCCCCCACCAGCCCTTCCAGCTCCATTCCTACTTGGGGCAATAGGAGCTGCTCCTGCTCTCCTCCTGTTTGCATTTTGCGGCCACTTCCCAAGCTGCTGGTAGGGAATGGGGTGGGAGGAACAGCAAACAGCAGCTTCAATCTCAGCAGCGCCCACGGATGCTGCGGGGACAGCCTGTACCCTGCCTAGCGCTGCCGTTGTGCCTACCAGGGAAAACAAACACAAAAATAATGCACACAGATGGGTTCCTTGTACAAATAAATGTCTGAGGGGAGCGACCTGGCTGCGGGCAACCTGCTGGGAAAGTCCTGCTCCGGTGGGAATCGTGGCGTTACGCAGCGCCTGGATGTGTCTGGGCTGTGATTTATGCCCCCGCTTGGATGCTTGCCTGGGCAGTGTGTGTTGACACTCAGTGCTCAGCTCCAGGTAAAGTTTAAACAGGACTTATCGTGGCTCTGACACCTCAGGAAGGCTTCCCTGCCCTAACGGTGTGCCTCGTGCCATCTCTTGTGTAAGTTTGTGCTGCTGCTGTCCTCGATATTAAAAGAGAAGGAAGGTTGGCTTGCAGAATGCATTCCTCCAACAGCTTTCTCAAACGCTCTTCTAATTTTAAAACAACCCATTGCCAGTGGGTCCTGTGGCTGTTTCTTTCCTCGGTGGGCTGCATACAGTCTGTGCTTCACCCAATGCCCCCAGTCTGGGCTCATTACAGGGAGTGCTGTGAGAACGGTTTGACCCCGGGTTCCCTGCAGGTTCCTGTCTGTCTGTCTGTCCTGCTGGACCTACACCAGCTCTGGGCAGACCCTTCTTCCCAGCAAAAATAACCATACAGTGTTTGTCAATCAGTTGGGTGTCCTTGGATGGCACCCAGCATCACACAACTCACCCCCAGCTCGCTCTAAACAACGTTGAGCTCATTCAGTTTTATGCTTTGTTTTCTTATGGGTAACAATTAAGAACAAAAGCAGCGGAACATAATTACAGCACCTTGAAGTGTAGCTTTACTGGGCCAAAGGCTGAAATGAGGTTACGACGGGACAGCCCTTTATCTCGGATCTGATAGGGGTGTTATTCATTGTATTAAAAGTTTGCCAAGAGAGGCTTCACTGAAAATTAACCTGTGTTATCGCAGTGAGTAATATCCTGGTTTTATCATGTGGAATAAACAAACAGGGCAGACTTTATGCTTTTGCTTAATGAGGTTAACACTGAGTGCAGAGCAGGAAAGCGGCGTTAGCTCCGATGTGCATCCACAGTGATTGTGGTGAGATGAAACTGGAACAGAAAGTGCCCCCAGATTTCTTGCATAACAGCAGAGCTTAGATTACTATTAATTACATTATGCAACTGAGATAGGATGGAAGTTGGCTCTATCTAACAACAGACCAGGGTGCAAAACTCTTTGCAGTCACCTCTGTGATTTCCCAGGAAAACTCAACATCCATGCTGTCTCGATTCTGTTTTCTTGCCTTCTTTGCCCTATGGGGACTGCACAATTCTCCAGCTTTGTGCCCCCCAGCCCAAGCAGCACACTTATTTCAGCATTTACATTTGCTCCCTTGAGTGCTTTTCTCTCCTCAGAACCCACCTGGGTGCAAAATCCTGCAAATTCTAGCAAATTCAGACTGATGAAGTGATGTGGGGCATTGGGAGCACTGGTAGGGAAAGACCCCAAAACTGGCATGTGAGGTCAGCTCTGTTACAGTGTGTGGCTCGTCTCACCTGAGCACACACAGTGAGTGCTGGGATGTGGATAGGCACTGGCATGGGGCTGAGAGCAGTTCTGCAGGAGAGCAGTTGAACCCTACAGATGATACTCGTGGCTCTGGTGCAAACATCCTGACCTGTGATGCTGCTGCAGGCAGGGATGGCTTTGGGAATCAATGGGCTTGATTCAGTTGTTGGGATTTTGATTTGGCAGCGCATGGAGATGCAGAGCCCAACCCTGGACTTCAGCAGCTGGGAGCCTGAAGTTGTTTCATGTGAACAAAGGGATCGTCCGGGTCATTAATCCCTTGCACCTGTTGTGCTTTGTTCCCAGCTTTCTCTGCGCTATTGCATCAGCAGTGGTGACACTGTGGGCAAGCAGGGCTGGCAGTAGTGGTGGCATTAACAGTGCCCTCACCCAGCGGAGCATCACACTGGGTGGGTTCAGCTCGGAGCTGGCATGGGGCAGCCCATGGTGTCGGATGGTGCGGAGCAGGGCTTGGGGTGGCTGTGTCAGCAGGGACCCTCATCCCAGCATGGGGGGACCCATCCTGGTCCCATCTGAACCCTTCCCGAGAACTTTTTCTACCCCTGCCAAAATCATTGCACCAAAGAACTTTAAACCCCAAATCCAGCACCCGTCCCTTTGTGCCAGTGGATGTGATAATACCAGGAGTGTATTACCCTCTGGGCTATCAGCAGCTGCAATACCTCCAGGAATCGCTCCGGTAGCTTTAATTATGCTCATGCCTTTCTTTCAGCCCTCGTTATCTCTGAGTTTCTCCAAGCTGGGGGCAGGGGCACGGCATCGATGTTGCTTCTCTGAAGCACCTTTGTTTTCCCTGCTCAGGTATTAAGCTGATGGCACAACAGTCACTGGGCGCTGCTTTTTCTTGCCTCCCCACCCCCCAACGCAGACTCGGGCGCAGGCAGCAAGCAGGGCTGGCAGGAATGCACAGACAGAGGCAGCTTGTTCCTGCAGGGAGCAGGGAAGGGAGAAGGAGAGAAAGGGAAAGCAGAGGGGGGAGAGGAGGAAGAGCTGGGTGAAAGAGGGAAGAATCCATCTGTGCACGGAGGGATTTGTCTGGAGGTGTTTGTTAAAAGGATGTAATGCTTAGAAAAATAATAAAGAATCCTCCCTCCCACACATGCCCATAAGAGGTTTTTGTCAGCGCAGTGCCCTACATGGGAAGGTGACATTTGAGAGAACAATTGCCGGGCTGTTACGCCGTGCCTGCACTATGAATGGGGCTTAAGAAAGGGTGTCCTTGGGCTCCCATCCTCTCCTCCATCCCCTGCCTCCTGACACGGGGCAGCAGCGTGCGAACAGAGCAGTGTGGGAGATGAGAGGGGAGCGCACTCCAAGCTCACTGCCTTACTGTGCAGCCAGCTTGTCCCGCTGCTGCACGGGGATGCTGAGGATGCTGCTGGAGAATGCACAGACAAGGAAGGACAGTGGGGAGGGGGAAGCTCGGGGGCTTTCTGCAGCTTTGTTCTTCGGGCTGAACTGGGTGTGAGCTGTGTTTTGGCCACGCACCTGCTGCAGATGTCGGAATGGCTTTCTTTGCACAAACACCTGGATGCGTAGGTACGTATATGCCTGTTTATGTGTGTACATGTACAGCATCTCTCCTAGTGCAAAAGGCTCTTAGCACTGTCTTTCTCCAGCCTGAAGTGGGAAACAAATCAAGACTTTTGCTGCTGAGAGCTGGACTTGTTGGGGTGGCTGGATGGGGTCTCAGCAGCAGGACGGCTCCCTGCAGGTGCTCTGTCCTGGTGCAGGAGGCACTGGGGGGACATGGTGATGCCTGAGCATCCCCTGGCACTGCCCAGTGTTTAGCTAAGATTTTAAGTTGATGCGAGCATCGGGGACATCAGGATTTGTTAAATATTTCCTGCTAGATTTGGAATGCCTTTTCTCTTCTCTTCTGACACATCTTGGCATCTAGCCCGTGATAATGCCTCTCAAAGCTGTGTTTCTTTGGGATATCTGTTTCTGCAACATGGATATTTTTGCCTTTGGCAAGCCATGTAGGTTGTCTCTGTGCCTCAGTTTCCCATTTCTGTGCCTCAGTTTCCCATCTCTGTGACAAGAACGATGCTGGTTGTGGATGCTCCCAGTCGTGATGAGGGGGAGTGTGGGGCTGTCATTGGAAGCTGTTAGGGAAAAGCCTCCTGTTGGCTTTATTAAAAAAAAAAAAGAAGAGAAAGAGAAGCAGATGTAAAGGGCATCTCTAACACCATATCTGATGAAATCTCACATGCAGCATTAAGCTGAGAAATAGTCTGTCATCACACTCCTGTGCATAGAATCTATTCAGGCTGTGAGCTCTTCGGGGCAGGAATCTGTTATCTGCTTGGTGCTGCTTCCTGAGTGCAGTGTATCACAATTGTTTTGGGGATCACATGCAGGAGAAATGGGGAGGGCAGAAATTGCAGCATTGTCTCTGAGCACCTTTACTTGTGTTTGGGGTGTTGGGGAGGGGGAGGGGGGGGGCAGTTCTGGAGCAGCTGCTGGCACTTTGCCTTGCCTTACCTGACACCTTACAGCCTCAGTGGATTTGTTTTATATTTTCCACTGGAGAACAGGGAAATGACATGAGTGGGCAATGCTGGGAGAGGGCTGGGGGTGCTATGGGTTGGGCTAGGTGGTGTGGGGGGGGGCTGCCAGGCAGCCTGAGGCTGTCATAAAGGAAACTGCAGTGGGAGTGTTAATGCTTGAGCCAAGTTATGGAGAAAAAGGTTTATTGTTTGAAATAAAGTGTGAAAAGAAGACATCTGGGAGCACGCTGCAGTGCTTTGGAGGCCTGGGGACAAGCAGGGGGCTGGGAGGGCTCCTCCTGGCCCTGTGGTGCTCTCAGAGGTTAAATGATGTGATGGGAATGGCAGCCCTTCCCTGCACTTGCATCTATAAATTGGATGTTAGGTGGACATCTTTAGCTCAGAGGTTGCGAGGCGTTGGCAGAGCTGTGGGTGCCCATTCCCACAGATCCTCTGGGCAGTCTGAGCTGGGGGAGCACCCAGCCCATGGCAGGAGGTGGCTGGGGAGGGCTGGGAGATCCCTTCCAACCCATTCTGTGATTCCGTGATATGATATTCTATGCTTGTCTTCATCAAGCCATATGAAGGAGGAAAGGAGATGGCCTTCAGGGTAGCGTTCTGCATACATGAGATTGCTTTGCAGGTGCTGCACTACAGACGTGGGCTCGAGGTGTCAGTTGGGTGCTCTGGTCTTGTCCCATTCTGGTGTTATCAGGCCCTCCAATGGCACAAGGCAGATTAGCTCCACTGAAAGCCCCTAGAACAACAATCTGCTGGGAGTTATGGATAAATGCAAATAGTGTTTGTTTGATTTACTTTTCAGGTCTGGCCAGGAAACCTTCAAGTAGGAGCACTTTCCCTTCTAAGCAGGTAAGTGCTTTTTTAAAACATACACGGGACCGTCTGTGCCGCTCTGTTTATCGCTATAAATCTTTCTGTGCCTGAACGTCTGAGCAGAGATTCCCGTGGTAAATTCACAGCACTGGGGAGTGCTGATGGGCTGGGAGGCTTCTGCAGTCCTGGATGGGAGAGGGGAGAGGAGCCGTGGGGCTGCAGGAGGTGGGGATGTGGGGGAGATGCGTTGCGTCCAGGACGTGTGGTCTGTTGGGGTGAGTGGGACTGTAAGCATAACAAATCACCACTACCACCAGCAAAAAAAACCATGGCAGCCTTTCGCCGTGGATGGCTAGTTGGTCGGCCAGGGTGTTTTTCCTTTGGACCTTGGCCACTCCAAGCACACACAGGGCTCTGTGTGCTCCTACCTCGCCCTCCGAGGAGGAGCGGGAGGGAAAAGCTGGCCGTGCTTTGGGGAGCCGGGCAGGGGAGCGCGAGGCGTCGCTTGGAGCCGAGTTCCTTTTTCTATTTTATTTAGATTAGGTTCTGCTCAGCGGGGTGATTTCTTAATTAGAGCAGCCCGCGCTCGCAGGCCGGCCGTTCCAGACCCCTGCTCTGCCTTCTTAGGTTTCACGAGGGAAGTTGTCGTGCCTGATTTCCTGAGCTCTAATATTCGAGCGGTTGCGCGGTGATTTCAATGGGAGGAAAGGACATGTAATTCAATCATCTTTATTGGATGCTGGGTGAGGGAGGGGGCAGAGCAGTGGGAAGCGTGTCCTCTGCTTGTCTCTCGATTCTCCCCTCTGCTGCCAGTGGTCCGAGCTGAGATTTCAAGGATGGGGAAGCAGGAAAACGCAGATCCTGAGTGCTGTGGTCCACATGGTGAAGGGCTTTTTGTCCTCATCTGGGCAGCTCTGCTCAAGAACAGCCATGTCCCTTCGTTAGGGATCGGCAGTGATTAAAATGTGGGTGTTTCATCCCCGTGATGATAGGAAGGGGAGCTCTGTGCATCCAGCGTTTTGCCTGAGCAGAGTTAGAGGCTGATGGAGCCGTCCTGGCAGAGCTAACAGTGTGCAGAGTGCAGAAATCTGCAGCTCTCACCTGGGTTTGGGGAATCTGCTGAAGGAAGGCAGTGTGTTCCTGGGTCTGCTTCCCAGGCACTGCTCAGCTCCAGCTACAGGATGAGCTTCCCCCTTTGGGCCAAGGTAGTAAGAGTGATAAGAGAAAGAATAAGGGAAATTGGCCAAAATAGAGGTAGCAAGGGAAAGTGGCTTTGTGTTGTGGCAGCTTCTTAAAAGCTCCATTCTGCCTGTCATCCTCACTGCACAGAGCTGATGCCCAGGAGAGCAGGGACAGCACCCCCACCCATGGGTGCTTGTGCAGGTGGATCAGTGTGCACAGGCACTGGGTGCCAAACCTTCACTCAAAAGGGTGCTGGATTTAGGATCCCCCATGGATGTAGGATCTGGGGGGACCTTACTGGAGCTGGATTTGGAGCGTCACCCCCATAGGTGTTGGATTTTGGGAGGGAATCTCCAAAAGTGATGGAATTTGGGGCTCCTTCTCCAAAAAGGATGTTGGGTTTGGGGTCCTCCATAGATGCTGCATTTGAAGTGTCACTCCCACAGTTGCTCAATTTGGGGTGTAATCCCCAGAGGTGCTGGAATATGGGGTTTCTTCCTCAAAAGGACGATAGAATTTGGGCTCCCCAAGTAAATCAGTGCTGAGCTATTGCTGCCAATAACTCTGGGATGCTCCTTTGAGCTTTGGGCCTACTGTGTTGCATGCAGTCAGCTGTGACTTCGTAGCTTACAAGGCGTTAAGCAACACCCAGCAGGGCACATTTACATTTAATTCAAATGAAATCAGACTTTCTTTTTTAATAAATCCATTTTACGGCTAGAACAATAGAGAAGCAAATACTTGTTACCTGGAGACACTGTATTCTCTCTCCATCTCACCACATGGGCTTGAGTTATTATTTTCCTATCTGGCCCTATGAGAAGCGGAGGATGGGAGAGGTTTATAACTCAGTAATAGGCTTCTCACCTCAAAGTGGTTCCAGTTGCTCTCTGCTGCATTTGGCTGGGATGGTTTTGATTATGCAAAACCCTGCTTTGGTTGCATGCAGCCCTCGCAGCAAGCAGCGTGTGGGTGCAAATGGGGCAATGCTGAGCCACAGAGGGGCTGCACAGGTACTGCTCACACTCCCCAGGTGCAGGTGATGGTTTGGCCATTGCTATAAAGAAATGCTCTTTTTTTTTCCCTAAGAGATCACTTTGCTCTTGCAGAAGTAACTGCATGGCTGCAGCTGTGACTATATTACGTTGAGAGTTTTAAAGTGTTGCATTTAATGGGTTGCTTGAGGACTGAAACACTGCCAGCTCATGGGGTTTAGCAGCTGTTTTTCTGCTTTTGCTGCATCTCCATGTCCAGGTCTGCAGTTCTGCTGCGCAGCGGTGCTTTGCTCATCTGTCCTGCTGCTGGTGAGAGGAAAACAGTAAAGGAAAGTTCCTCTGTGGTGACAGTGGCATGAGTTGGGACTGTCACTTAGAGGCACGGAGGGTCTGTGGCTCTGGGGAGCGGGATGCTGCAAGCCACGGCATTCCTATCAGATGAGGTGGGTGGTGATGGCAGTGAGCTGGGAAAGGGGTTTTACCAGGTGTGGAGACAGCTGTCAGGGCTGCAGGAAGACCTTGTGCACATCTCCAGGATAAGTGCCAAGTGGGATAGCACTGACCCCATGCTCATCCACAGAGCCCCACAGCACAGGGATGCTTCGGTACAGATTGTGCCTGGAAAGCCTGCAGCACTGTCCCTGGGCAGATGGGCTGTGAAAGCAGCTGCAGGTGCCAGGGAAAACTTCTGCGGGTACGTGCTACCTGCGTGTCTGTGTCACGGAGGGACCAAACAACCCTGGTGCTGCTGGCAAACCGCATCGCTGCAGTTACGGGCTGTGCTGGGAGGGGGGAGGCTGCAGCAGCCTGGTTTCTGGAAAGCAGCTTGCCTTGCGGGAGAGGGGGAAAGAAATGACAAATTAAAACCAGAAAGACCCCTTTTCCCTCCATCTCTTGATGTCTTGATTCAGGTATGCATAATTACAATCATTATTTTTCAGGGCAGCCCCTCCACCCCTTGGGCTCTGTGACATCCCTGCAGCTGCCCCCCCGGCTCTGCACTGCAGGAATGACACCAGAGCCCTCATCTGCTGGGGAAGGAGGGGGGGGTGAAGAGCGAGTCCTTGCCTGAGCTGTGGGGGTAGGAAAGGAAGAGGAGGGAGGGATGAAGGTCACCTTCCGCTGCCCCGGGATGGTAACGAACCCCATGCAAAGGCCCAGGTCGAGCTCTCCAGAGTCATTATCGCAACAGGCTGCGAAAGGTTAGGGAGGAAGGAGCTTTTCGGAAGTCTTTGCCCACTAATTGATTGTGAAGAGCGGAAGGAAGGATGTATCAAAAAAAGCAAAAGCCCCGTGCCATGTGTAACCCCCTCCTCCCTGCCCCGAGTTCTGAGAGGAGGCAGCAGGTTGGAGCTGGGGCTGTAATGGTGCAGTGGGAAATGAGATCCAACAGGAGAAGGGTCTCCTTTCAGCCTAATGGCGAATCTGGAAAACGTTTTCTTACATCATTAGAGAGGATGAAAAGCATGAAGGGATTGCACCCCATCCCTGCCTGGTGAGGGGTGCAGGGAATGGCTGCTCCTGCTTGGTGCTGCTCCATGTGCTGTGGGCAGCTCTCTGTGATCAGCATCGCATGTTGCCCTCTCGCTCCCTGCTCCCCTTGGCCACCAACAATCATAGCAGCTGCCTGGAAATGTGCTCTAAACTATGCATGTGGATCTTCTGGGGCTGCAGCTGCCCACAGCTGCCCACTGTGAGCACTGCATAGACTTTGGGCTGCTCTGCGCAAGCATGAGCTGCATTGCAAAGACCAGGCAGAGGCTGAGGAGGAGATATCTCCCAGTTGAGTCCCAGAGGAGCTGCTGGCTGCGAGCAGCATGGGGACTGTTTGGGAAGGAAGTCCTTGAAATGGTTGTGGCTTTCTGGCCCCAGGTGAGGCAGTGCCCAGAAATGAAAGGCAGCTGCAGAATTTGCCTCCTCCCATGACTGAATGAAACCAGAGCCCTCTAAGATGACACAGTGCAAGAATTAATCCACTCAGGTGGCACCGAGGTATTGTCTAAGTATGACAAGAATCTCCTGGAACAACAATGTGTTCATATTTAGACCAAGCAGTCCAATTGCGTATTTCCCAATCAAATATTTGCCAAGAAAACAGACAATTCATGTCATCCTCTAACCTCTACCTCTCCTTAACCTTTCCATCTGTCTTCCAGACCGAGGAGAAAATGCAGTGGGAGAGAAGATCCACTCTTCTGAGGACAGAGTACTTGGCCAACGTTGAGTGAATCCTGGTGCACCATAGGTCGGTAGTCATTATCATCATTGTTATACTGGTAAGTAAGAAAATAATCAAAAAAAGGATTTTTAGGGCTGGTGGGATTTGCCCAAATCACCTGGATAAAATTGGGAACGCTCCCTGACCGATCAGGAACAGACTGAGACTGGAAACCAGTTGCCTTGATGCCTTGCTCTAACCACTAGACGACCCACCCTGTATGAGCAAACGGAATAAAATTTGAAAGAAAACAAAAATCTGACTTGAAAAATGTGTTCCGCATAGAACCAGAATGTTCAGCGGAGAAAAAAGGATGCAGTCCAAAGTTTTACTTCCAGGCAAACATTTCAAAATGGACTTATAATGTACCCTTTCATTTAGATTTTATATGAAGGTTTTACTTGAACTTGTAATGAAGATGGAAAAATCCGAGGTTGCCATGGCTACTGGCACTTTGCCTAATACACTCAAATCTTTTTCCCCTAATAAAATAGATTTCAGAAACCCCCCTGTAGAAAGGGAAGAGTTAAAGACCCCATAAACAACTGTAGGATGAAGATAATTATTCCACGTAAAGAAAGTTCTGATGAATTACGTTCATTTTTTCTCATCAATTAGGCCTCCAAAACCCAGAGTCCTGCTCTAGATGGTTCTGCTAATAAGAAGGACAATGCAAGGATGGAGAAAATTGGGTGTTGGTGAGCGAGGTGCGTAGTACTCCTCCTGGGATGTTCTGTTGGTTGGGAACACATCCAACTTGTCAGGCAGGAGGAATCCTGGTTACTTCAGATGCTCTTGTAGGCTGCGGCCATGATAGACCCTCTTGGACAAGCATTTCAGCTGGGCTAGGTCGTGCCTTGCACTCATCCTGCAAAATTCAAGATAGCTCAGGGAACCCAGTACTGTACTGGGTCACTGCTTTTGTTCATACTGCATATTGGACTAAAATTTAGGCCCAGACTTGAGATCTTGTTTGTTTAGCATGTGTGTTTTCATGGCCTGTGAGGCTCAGAGATGTGTTGGTCCCAGCCCTGATGCAGACCTTGGGCACTGCAGGCAGCACAAGGCTGGAGGAGACAGCAGTAGCCATCTCCTCCTGACTGCTGGCAGCTCCCTGGCTGGGCTGAAGACCTACTCTCTTCTTCACCTTCACCTTCATTTTTTCTTCTTCCTCCTCTTCTTCCTCATCTCCTCCCTGCTGGGGCAGATTCTTCATCCACAGGCTCTGCCCAATCCCTAGTCCTGGGAAGGGTTGCTGTCTCTTTTGCCTGAAGAATTCAGCCAATGGTCTGGCTTCAGCTCAGAGTTGCTAGCTTTTTTTCCTCCTGATTTCCCCCAATTTTGGTGGCAGCAGATTTGGCCTTGAATTTGGGCTTTGAAATCCTATGGGGAGCTCAAGTTTGGGGGACGGATAGACAAGAGTGGAAACACTTCAAAATCACCAGGGTTGCCCAAAAAATGGTCGTGGCATTGGAGACAGCACAAACGATGATGACGAGCATCAAAACCCCACGAAGTAATCCCAGCCCTGGCTGTGCTGCTGACGCTCCTGTTCTCCTCGGGCATTCAGGAGATCCTTTAATGCAGCGGCTCTTTGGCTTTTAGCAGTGGTGGCTGTCCGCCAGCCCGATTTATTTTAAACATGTGTTTTTGATTTGAAAATGTCCAGATCTCCAAATCTTTAATCTTCTCACACCTAGGGATTTTTTGTTGTGTTTTGCTTTTGTAAAGGGCTGAACCACGTGCGCAGGATAATGGTTAAAAAGCAGCACAGACAGCTTTAAAAAAAAACATGAAAAGAGAGAAAAACAGTAAAGAAATTAAAATAAAAGGTCCAGCTGACATTCTTCTGTTATCAAAGCAAGACACAGCGTGGAGATCCATGCATGCTGTCTCAGTGCTGTAATACTGAATCCTAGTGAAGCTCCCTCAGTTTTATGCTGAGAAAAACTCTCAGAGATCCCTCCCAGAAGGAAAAAGAACAGAGAAGTGGTCAGGCTGAGACAGGTTGCCTTCCCCACAGCTTAAATCTCATATCGTTTTCTGGTGTGAAAGTGGAAGAATTGGGTCCTGCCGCTCTGTGCTGGGATGGGGAAGGCTGGGAGGGAGGTGTGGGGGAGATGGGGTATCCTTGGGATGGGGCAGGAAGGACAAAGATGCTCAACATCAGCACTGGGTGATGCAAATCAAAACTGACAGATTTAAAACGTGCAAGGGGAAAAAAGGTATTTCTTTATAGCAGCCTACAATTAACGTGCGGCTCAGAGGAGCCATATATGCAAACAGGCTGCTGTCTGACCAAAGACACTTGCTGCAGGAAGATGTGTTTTCCAGGTGTGGGGCTTATTTAAGATATAAACAAGTAATTAAGCTTTTAGCTCTGCATCACTTGCCAAACTGCTCCGGCTTCAGCGGGACCAGAGGCAGCAACGTGAGTTGGCTGAGCACTGTTGCAGCCCACCCAGTGGGATTTCACAGCCTGTGATTTCCTCCTTCTGCTGCTGGAGCCTTAGGTCTGGGCAGAGCAGAGGTTAATGCAGAGCACGTTGGATAGATGGCGTTGGCTGCACTGCCTGGAAGCATCCCCTGCACTTGGTGTATGGGTGCAGACAGGACAAGCATGAGGTGCTGATGTCCCTTTGCACAAGGGGCTGATGTCTATTGCTGTCCAAATGTGCAACCCACATTAACTCAGCATCTTCCTGTACATCTGCTGGTGATGCTGTGCCAGCAGAGCTGGGGCTGGGAGGACAGAATGATGTCCCTTGTCCTCCCTGCAATGCAGCAGATTGGAGGTGGTCCTCTGCCCAACCATGTCACTGCTGATCTCATTGGAACAGAAGGGCTGAAATGTCTCCCCGTGCACTAAGAGTTAAGGGGTTTGTGAAGCTCTGAAGATAAGAAACAGATGATAAAGGTTAGGGAAGGGATCGCATTTCCATTATGCAGCCTGTAAATGCAAACTAATTAGAATGCAGCCTTCTTTCTGAGAAAATGCAAAGAAGGAAGAAAGAAAAAAAAAAAAAAAACCCACCAAAAAACCCATCTCTTTCTTCCCAGGCAAAAAAGCCATTTGAGTGCTGAAGGCCTGGGAATGTGGAATAACTCAGCTTTTCTGCTTAGGTGTGCCTAGAGCTGGAAATACACATCAGCCATGGTGTGCGTGTGGCTGAAGAGGTGCTGGGCTGCCCTGGCCTTCTCCTGGCCCCACAGGGATTTGAGGTTTTCACCCATTCTGGCTGCATTGCTGGGCTGCAGGGTGCTGATGCCTGCTGAGCTGGACCTTGTTCTGCACTGTGTTGGTCTGACACACAGGACAGAAATTAAAGCAAACCCAGTGGTTTGGGTCTGTCAGGAGCTTCCTGGAGTTCAGAGCAGCAGTTGATGGCTTTAGCACAGCTTCAGGGCAACCACTGCCAGTTAAGAGGAAAACATTTGTGTTTGTGCTTAAAGTGAGGCATCTCTGTTTGCAATGACACCTTCACCTGCTGGGCTCCAGCCTTCCTCGGGCAGTCTCACCGAGATGGGAGCTGGGGATTTTGGCAACAAGGGCTGAAATGGTGGTTATTCCCGGGGCTGGAACACCACCTACCCTTAACCACTTCCCAGGGAAAGGTGCTGCAGAGACACACTGCAGGTTTCCTCTGCACATCATCTGGAGGAGGATGTGTGTTTAACGGGGTTTGATTTTTATTTTTCTTTTTTTTTATTATTATTTTCTTTTAAACTTTATTTTTTCTCTCCTCTGCAGTTCATTAGCATCTTCCCTTTGCTTGCTTACTTTTTTTGCCCCTTGCTTTCTTCTGGAACCTAGAAGTATTTCGCTGCAGCTTGCCAAATGATTTCTATCTCAGTGAAAAAGAACTTGCTATTTCCTGAAAACCTACCACTGTTTTTTCTCTCTTTCTCTCTCTCTCTCTCTCTCTCTCTTTTTAATACATTCTGAGCATTGAAACAAATCCAGGTAACTTGATAAGAAGTTAATGAAAATGAATTCTGTTTTGCGAAGGTGCATTGAGGAGAAGGGAGAAGGGAGGCACTGTTTGGTGTAGAGGGAATTTGTGCTGAAAAAAAGGATTTTAGGAGATATCTTGTTCAAAATCCTCCCGTTGCCAAACCTGTGGGTGAGAAATGGCAAAAAAAAAAAAAAGGGAAGTCTCCATAGTTTTCTACTTGTGTGGTATTTGTAACTGTCAGTGCTGTTGGTGAGATGGCAGAGATGATGGTGAGATGGGTCTGATCGACACCACTGGGTTTGATTCCAGTGCTGACCACATCTCACACTGGGGAGGTTGCATTGGGCTGCTGGCTGCCTCCATCTCCCAGGTCCAATCATGGGATCACCCACGGCACCCACTGACTGCAGCCGTCCTTCACACCCAACCATCGCACCAATCCATTGCATCCCCTACATCCACCCATCACAACCCCCATCGTGACCATCCGCTGCACCCACAAGTTGCATCCACACATCCCCACCACCCATCACACCAATCCTCCACACCCAACCGCTGCACCCATCCATTCCATCCATTCCATCTGCTCCCAGCACCCACCCGCTGTGTGTCCACCCACTGCATCCATCCGCTGGGTGCATTCACCTACCCATCGTATTTAGGTTTGGTTTCATGCACTGGAGCACATTGGGCAAAAAAAAAAGGAAAAAAAAAAAAAAAGCTTTGTTTAATGAGCTGATTCTTTTATTGGGCTGATTTTCAGCTGCATTTTACTTTTCAGCACACGAGAAGTTTAGTTTTTAAGAAGTTTATTTCTTTATCGTGCATTCATTTCCGAAGGCTTCGCTGTACTTCTGGGTCGATTTCTGTTTGGTTTGGGACTTGGAGAAACGAGCCTTTGAGCAGATCAGTTGCGGGATAAGGAACTCTGTTTGTGAGATGGTTTTCTGTGTTGCATAACTCACAAATATCATCCGGCACTTAAGAAAATGGATGATCTTTTTTTTTAAATTCACCCTCTCTCTCCCTCTGCTCCCCCATCTATGTGATTTTTTATGGTCCATGATTGGAAGCAAAAGGTCTAAAAGAAAGAGGAAATCAAGCCCGTCAATAAATGCTAAAAATATTTAGTGTGGCAGCCTCTGTATTTTCTTTTTTGTGAAACACTGATTAATATTCAGTGGTTGAAGGTTAATACCCCATTCATTTTATTCCCTTTACATCCTCTGCACAGCAGTTGCTGCTCCAATTTCGACTTCTAATTCATGCAAATCTGGTTCCAATCAGGATATTAGTAACTCACTGCATAAGCAGGAGGAAAGGAAAAAAAAAAAAGAAGCCACACAATTGTTCAACTCATCTTTTGGTAGAAACCTACACACAGACACCCCAAGTCCATCAGGTTGCTGTAAGGAAAAGGTGTTTATTGGTGTTTATTGTGCATTTCTCTCCTTTAAAATATGGAGAGAACATCCGCATAGAAGTTTTTTGGCAGGCTTAACCAGAAGTTATTGCTTTGGTACAGCAGTGAAAGTGTCTGGCCTGTGTCACAAAGGAGATGGATGATAATAATGGCTCATGCTGAGCTTAAAATCTAAGCTTCAGTGCAGGGACAGAAACAATCCTTTCTCAGGTCAGATTATCAAGCCCAGATCGGTGCCTAAATTGTCTGGGTGCCTGAATAATATAGAAAAGCTGGGAATCTTTTTTCCAAACGTGCAAGGCAGTGTCCATCAGGGAAGCGGCTGTTCCTCAGTCCTCTGTGCCTGGCTCTTGGTGCCACTGCCCGGTGTTTACCTCCTCCTTGGTGAGCAAAGGGTTTCTGCATTGCCACGACCTTGTGCTGGCTCTGAGGACCATGGGGATGAATGCTGGGCACTGGGGTGCTCGGTTCCTGCCAATGGATCCTGGGCTCACCCAGTGCTGCCTCTCCATCATTCCCCACGGGACATCCCAGTGATGTCCCCCTTGGCTCTGCTGGGGTCTCTGCATGGACCACAGCCCCAGAGGCTTTCAAGAGGAGGTTGATGTCTACTTGAGCTGCAGCAACTTCCAGCATCTGGTCAAAGCAGACAGGCTGCAGCAAAGAGTCTCCACGGAGTAGACTGCCTAAAGCCTGGTGTATTTACCTTGGAGGAGGCGCAGGGCTCAGCCCTCCCTACCAGGAATCCCAGGCGAGGCCGGCAGCCAGGCTGGGGATGTCCAGGACGAGGACCAGAGCTGGATCCTGCACCCCACATCCTCAGGGCTGGGGATGGCTTTGTGTTGGGTGACTGCTCTCAGATGTAGAGGATGTGTGCCTGTCCTTGCATGTGGCTGCCACGGCCCTGCCACCCCTCCATAACACACCAATGGGGAAAAGCTCAGGCTTGCAATTGTCAGCATGTGAACATCCTCAGGCACCACTGCAAAGCAACAGGAGTGCAGTTACGGAAGCCCAAGCCCCAGAACAGGAGGTTTCACTTCAAGGACTGGTCTTCACCCATGCTTTGTTGGACCAGGAGGCGTGGATGCATAGAATGGCCCTCCCAGACCCTTCTCCTCCAGGAAATGTTGCTCCTATGGCATCTTCCTCAAAGGAAAAGGCATTTTCTCCCTTCGTGGATCACCGGTGACTTCAACTTTTAAAAATAAGCAAAGGCTCCAGCACAGCCCTGCACGCGATGTCTAGCCAAAATGCAAAACTTTACCACAGTGCACAAGTGGGCTGTGTTTTTCAGACCAGGCAACAACGTTAGGGCCTTTTCATCACCTTTCTTTTGCACTTCTTTTAAAAATGATTTAAATTGGAGGCAATAGTATTGAACCTCTGACACTCAGACAAGACTCTCTGAATCACACTTAAGCTTGCAGCCATTTTCTATAACCACTTTGCTCGCAATCCTTGTGGTTTGTTGTTTTTCTTTTTTTCCTAAGCATTTGTTCTTCCCACTTTGTTTGCTATTTTTGCCACCTCCATGAAATGTCATTGCATTTTTTGCTTTGCTGTAGGATGGAACCGGTGACCACCCAGGCTTCACTTCTCATCTCTGCTGATACGCTCTAAAATTGGGCTCCCCTCCAGCACGTTTGGAGCAGCAGTGCTGAGAACGTTGCTCTGAACCCTCCATCCACCACTGAGAAAAACTCACAGAGGAGGAAAACCAGGTTCCAGATTGCTCAGCAGAAAGGAAAAACCAGCTTGGAAGCCCCTCTGGAAGAAAGCCAGGCAGTAATCTCACGGCGTGTGGGTGAGAATGGCAGCATCTCCTTTGGCCTCTGACAGAGCAGCTCACACTCAGCATCCAACCTCCTCCGTTTATAGCCCCGATTTCCAACCAGCTAAATGAAAATACTTGTGGGCAGCAAAAATAGCCAGTGCTGAAAACCTGTGTCTACCGAGGGTGGAAATTGCTGGGAGTTCCTCTGTGTCCACAGCCGATCATTAGGAGCGGTGGCATAAATCCGGCGGTTGCGCGGCGTGCCGCTGGCGGGCTCCCTGCAGAGACCCAGGGCTGAGTGCCCACCGCAGCCCATGGGATGCTCTGAGGATGCTGCTGAGGAATTGGCTTTTTGGGGGGAAGTAGGAAAAAGCAGCACGCGTTTTTCCCTTGCATCAGCACGGTATGCAGTAGGGAGGAGTTTGCCGTCGTTGAGAGGTAAGCTCGTTTCTGCTCCCTCTGTGGGACAGGGGATGCGGTGCTGGGATGAGAGTTGGGTTGCATGGAGCTGCTGAGGTTGCTCCATCTGTGGTGGTGTGTTCACAGTGCAGAATTTATCGCTGTAAGTATGCAAATGTGCCATGCAAACATATGCAAATCCTGATCTTTTATCAGTTGGCAAGGTACGGTTAAACATCATAATTGGGAGGCTCAGCAGCCAGCAGAGGAGCACTGCAGGGTAGTGCCAGGGCTCAGCTGCCAGCAGCACAGGCTGGGAATGCTGTAGGTTGCTGTTGTGTTATAGCAGCAGCAAGGAAGTGTTTTGCTTCATCATTTAGCAAATGCAGTCATGCAATGAGGCAGTGCCACCATTGGTGCTTTGGTTGACTCTCCTTGCAGCTCCAGGTGCGAGTGGGGGTGCACTGACCATCAGCTCATATTGCTCCTGTACTGACTCATTTATCTTTTGGTGCTCATTCTCCAACACCACATGGAAATGCTTGAGCAGCCACTCTAACCTTTGGGCTGCAGTAATGAGCCTCACATGGCATCTGATTGGCAACATGTGGTCTGGGTCATTGTTTTGCTTCAGCTGCTTGTTAGGCCCTGATCTCCATTTGATTTCAAGGTGAAACTAATGGGATTTTGTTGAGGCTCCTCTCGTTCAGCGTGGATCTCACAGCTAAGCATCCTGGTGGAGGCAGGGAGGGGTCAGAGCTGACCTGACTCCTTCCCCAGCTCTGCAGGGAATGGAGGCAATGTTCTGCTACGTGTGGACTCTGCTGGTGCATCTCTGGACTCAGATGGAAGCAGGTGAGTCAATGCACTCCTTGAGATAATATTTTGTGTCCTGTTTGTATGCTCCCAGGTTGCAGATTAGCCTCTTGTAGGTGCAGATGGCTGAAGCTTTCCAGGTCAGCTTTGCATTTGGTTTTCCTCTGCCCTAATTGAGACCAGAAATCCAATTAGATAATCATGCTGTCCTTTTTGAAGTCCCTGGCCGCAGCATCATGTCATCTGGGATGGTGGATGTTGTGCTGGTGATGGGGCCAACCAGCAGCAGTGAGATTCTGCCCTGCTGTTGATTACGAGGCACAATTTTAAGACATATCCATTGCAACCCATGTCAGTGCCCCTTGCTTTTCTGTTCCTATTAGAGACAGCAGATGTTCAAACAAGGGCTGCAGCACGTGCAGCCTCCTTGCTGCTCCCCATTAGGCAGGTCTCATGCTGGAGGGATGGCTGCTGCTTGAAGGGGCTCCTGTTGGTTTGCACAGATGCTGTGGATGAGGGGAGCAGCAGCAGCTCCTTTGGAAATGGTGTTGCCTTGATTCAGAGACCTCGGGGCCAATGATGAGCAACCCCTGCTTAAGGAACTGAGATTTGCTGCATCTCTTTTCTCTCCTTCTGTCTGGCCATAACAAAATAGGAAATGGCACCAGATTAGCTTGACATCTGAGCCTTCCAAAAGCCACAGCATGGCAATTGTAGGCATCACTTGTTGCTTTTTTCCTACCCTGCAGCTGTTGAATAGTAGGGCAGCAGTTTGATTTGGTGTCTCAGCCTGCTTGCTATGGGAGAAAGCAAGAAGGGGAAAAAAAAAAAAACAAACAAGGAAAGAGGTTTTAAGTTCAGGGCCTCCCACTGCATTGTTTTTATCCTTTTCCCATCCCGGAAAAAGAATCAGAAATAGTTCAAAACCTTTATTTTTTTCTTTTTTAATTTTAATTTTTTTTTTTTTTTTTTCCTGCACAATTTAATTAAGGCTGAAAAAATGATGGAAACTGCACTGTCCAGCTTCCAATGCTTTTTGCACCTCATTGGGCAGGACAGACATGTTAAGTTTGTGACTGTTACTATTCTGGTGGAGATGGGCTCCAGCCACAGCTGCAGGGGGTTAAGGATGAGGTTGTGGGCCCCTCGCTACAAAAAAGACATTTGAGGCCCTGGATTGCATCAGGACCCCTGAGTCCTCTTCTGTAGCACTGCTCTCAGTGAGTTCCCCCTGTCTGTCATATCCGGGGTTGCCCTGACCCAAGTGCAACACACTGCACTTGTTGAATTTCATTAGATTCTCATGTGCCCACTTCTTGAGCGTGTCCAGGTCCCTCCCTTCTACTGTATCAACTGCATCATTCAGCTTAGTGTCAGAAAACTTGCTGAGGGTACACTCAATCCCACTGCCTCTGCCATGGATAAAGATGCTGAAGAGCACCAGTCCCAAGAAGGGCCCCTGGGAGACACTGCTTGTGACCTTGGACATCCACCTGGTCATAGAGCTGTTGACTATAAGCCTCTAACTATGACCATCCAACCAATTCTTTATCCATTCCTTCAGCCTTGCCTTACGACCAGCAAAATTCCCCTTGCCCCTGCGACCTGACCCAGTGCTTGTTTGCTTTTGATTGTTCTCCAAACACGCCTTGCTCCCAGATGCCTCCATTTATGGATGCTTCCTATCGAAAGCTGACGATGAGCATTACATTTAAATACAGTTTAATTTAAATATAACCTCAGCATATATTTGGGGGGATGGGGAGGGGTAGAGGAGGGCTACTGTGATGGCATGGGTTCCTAAGCCCCTCCATGGGACCTGCTTGCTCCCAGCCACTGCTGTCAGCTCTCTGCAACTCCGGGCAGCTTGCACCGAGCGGAAGGACTGAATTCTTCCTCAGCCTTTCAATTAGCTTCTAATCCCTTCACTCTCATAAAATCTCAGCTGCTGGCTGCTCCTCTTTGTGTGTCTGCAGCAGCCACGAAAGCTGCCTCCCTAAGCATCTGTCTGTGCGGCTGAGGCTGAAACCAATCCCTGAGCCAATGGCCACACCTCTCTGCAAAGAACATGTAATTGCAAACTTATTTTTTTCTTCTTCTTCTTCTTTCCCCTTTCCTCCCATTTAACATGCAACAAGCAGATACCCGTCACCATCCTCAGCTTTGCACTGATGTAAGCTTTTTCCACCTGGCCAAGTTGGGCGTTCAAAAATTATAAATAAATGCAAAAGAAAAAAAAAAAAAAAAAAGAAGGGGTGTGGGGGGGGAAAGGCTGTTGGTAGGGATATTTTTAAACACATGACACAGAGGAGTGTGACACACTCGGTGTTCTCAGTGGGTGGGTGCAGTGTTACTGCATGTTGTTCTTGTCGCTGGGCCCAGCATTACAGGGAGGTGTGTTTGTAGCTGCGCCTGGTGACAGCGTGTGGCACTGCTGCATGGTCCCAGCGAGGGGTGGGGGCTGTGTGAGCACTGTGAGGATGCTGAGCATTTAAATACAGATGCTTTACTGCCTTGGTGTGTCCTGCTTCGCTTGGGAGCGTTCGACTCAAGGTAGCTGGGATTGGCATTGTGGCATTGTTTGTTGGTGAGCACGGTGAGGTTGCTGAGCATCTATGTGTGGGTACTTTCCTGCCTTGATGTGTTTCCACGTGGACACATTTACCCAACCTATCTGTGGCTCTGTATGTCCATCTGTCTGTGTCTGCTTGTCCATCTGTGTGGCTGTTTGGCTGGGCACCAGGAGGTGGCTCTGGGGACCACGCACAGCAGTGATGCTGAAGGTGACACAGGCTGATGCCGGCCAATGTCTGCCCACGAGCTGTCGGTTTTATAGCCCTATAAAAGGCAGCTGACAGCAGAGGTTCCGATTTCGGAGGCTCCAGCAGAGCTGGGAGGAGCTGTATTGGTGCTGAGCCTTAGTGTGACGTCAGGAGGCAGAGCTGGGCTGGGATTCCCAGTGTGCCAGGGGCAGAAGCTCGCTGCTTGCCTGCCTCTCCCTCCTGGGCACCACACGCAGTGCCAGCCCAGGCCCCAGCGCGCCGTGTGCTGCAGCACAGCGTGCGGAGCAAACAGCGCAGCTCCGTGCTCTGCTCTTCAGCTCTCCTCCCTAAGCGTGGCCTCTCTCTTTTGCTTTTTGCTTTCTCTTCCCTGCATGTTTCTTGCCACGTCCACTTGTGTGTTTCATTCTGGTAGGGATGTGCACGCTTCTCTGGAGGTCGGCCAGGAGCTTTGGCTCAGGCTGTGCTCGTGCTCACAGTTTTCTCATGGGCAGTGCCAGAGGTGGACAGGTTGGCACAGTGGGGGCTGTGGGGACAGCAGCAGCAGCAGAATCCCTTACTTGAAGCCTGGGCATTTTACACCAGGCTGGGGCAGATCTGGGGATGCACCATCCCTTCCCGGCTGCACGTGGCACTGTTACTCTCATGCTTGTGGGAAATCTGAGCAATGGGCTTAGGGGTGCTTAATCTTAGGCAGATTCAGCCTGAGTTATGAGGTCAGAAACAGAGAGATATCCTCATTCTGGAGCAAGGCAAAGGCACACAGGAGAACCTGGGGATCCAGGTAGAGCAGAATAAATCTTTTGGGAAAGTTGAGCTCCTTGGAAACATTCACCTTGGATAGGTGCTCCCAAAGCTGGGAATGACAGGCAACTTGTCCCGTGGCCCATCTCCACGTGAAAGAAGGGGGATCTTATTGTAGAGCTCTATCCCTGCACGTAGCCCAGCTGGGTGCTGCAAACAGGTATGAGAGCAAAAGGCAGCGCCTGGTGCAGGCCATTCTGCTCAGAACTCCCTGTGGAGCTCCTGCGCCTGGGTCCCCCACCACGACCAAGGGATCCTGGCTCTTTTTTTATGGAGACTCCCCACCGAGGTAGACGCTAGTTAAAAGGTTACTGCCCAGCTGTGAAATATGTAGACAGGGTAACAGCTAAATGGCGGGGTGACCTCATATCTCATATTTATTGACTAAATGTGGCTTGAACTAGTCACCACCAGTAAAATAAACCACAGCCCCGAGTGCTGCAGGAATATTCCACGGCAGACAGACTCCTGACTCCTTGTCACACTCTTTCTTTCACTTGATTAAAAAAAAATACCTTTTTTTTTTTCTTCACTAATCTTGCTTCATAGGGCCTGTAGAAACCCTTTCAGGGCAAGCTGACGTTTTCCGATGAGAAGAAGCTGGGAATCTCTCTGGTTTTACACTAGAAGAGAGGGTGAGAACCATCCCTGTGGCTTTTGCTTTTGCCAGCACCCATCTCAGCATGGATGTATGAGGGCTGATGTGTGAGGCTGTACAAGGGAGTGTGGGGGGTGGGAGCTGGGTTTTGTGACCTCTACATCACAGTGCTGTCACAGAGATGAGTAATAGATCTGAAAAATCAGAAAGCAGTTCTCAGGTTCTCCCTGCACAAAGACACTGTGGTATAAAGGCAAAGTGAGAGGAGAACTGAACTTGTTTGGCACCAGTTATGTCTTCCTAAGCATCTCTGCTCGTGTTCTCCAATTCTGGTGAACCATTTCTCATCACTTCAGAACACAAATCCTGCAAAGTGTCTGCACTGTGCTCATTAGCTCATGGTCATCTGTGGTGCCCCGAGGGGATGGCAGTGCCACGACCACAGTGCTCTCAGCTGGAAAAGCCAGAGCACGTTGCAGGTGTTGCTATAATGTCCTGTCTGGGATTACCGTGCGGTCAAAAGTTCTGCTGCAGTGTTTCCCTTTGGATATTTACATGTGCACGGAGGGATGCTGAGTATTGGAAAAAGTCGGGCTTGGCACCGGGTTGGGATGCAGATGTTAAATCACCAGCCCACGTCAGCTCAGGGTGCGCAGTAGCATCTCAGCTGAGCCATGGAGTGCTGCAGATGCGTGGGGTGGCTGTGGGGTAGGAATTGGCTGCAGGTTTCTAGGGATGTGCTGGTACAGGGATGGGGCAAAAGCCCTTCTGGTCACGGCACTGGGACCTTGTGCTGACTGCTGTTGTTGTTAGCTCTTCAATATGCAGATGGCTAATGAGAATCAGAAGGGAGAGAACATCCATTCTTCTCTAGAAGACCAGGTCACTGAGAGGTGTGTTTGTTTGTTTGTTTTTGTGGTAGAAGAAATGTGGATTTTTTTTTTTTTTTTTACTAATGAATAACATTTTGAAAGGGAAATACATATTATAAAGCCATTATAAAAGTCCTGACAAACAGCACTACTGCATTTAGAGAAGCACTGCTGCAAGTGGTGGAGCTTGTTGACTGCCATTTTTAATCAAGAAAAATTGCCTCAGTTGGTTGTTTGCTGCTTTTACTTTCTGATATATATTTTTTTTTAATATTTTTTTCATTCCCTCTGTCCCTGTGGAGGAGGTTGGTGTGATTTATCAGTAGTGCTTACTCTGCCCATGATGCACAGAGGTTGAAGGTGTTGCTGTGATGTGTTTGTGCTGTTCAGTTTCATCCATGCCTCTCGCAGCCTCGATTCTTCAGCGCCGTAACACAACACCTTAGGGCTGGGGCAGCCAAACGTCCCCTGGCTTGGGCTGAGGCCATCGTGCTTCATGGTTTCCACCTGAGGCCATAAATCATGCTGGAGCTGGATTAAAACTTTGGTTAGATCCACTGGCAGTTTTGCTGTTTTCACTGAACCTTGCGATGATTTGGACGTGAGCTGAAGATTTATGCCTATTTGCAGAACCCACGGTTCCAGGTCAGAGCTTGGACTGAGGCACTACCAGGGAATCATTGCTTCCCTGAACGTCTTTGGTGGCCTCTCTGAAGCGAGACGTTGCTAGGAAAACGCATCCAGAGCTCATCTCCCCGCTGAGTCTCCTCTGAGAAGTGCGAGACTCGATAAAAGGAGCCTGAAAATGCTGATACAAACATTGCTTAGGGAAATGTGCTCTGGTCTCATTCTTAACAAAGGCAACGTTGGAGCCCGCTTGTAATAATGCCAGGAGGAGCGTATGGGCAGGAGCAGAAAGTTAATAGTGGAACAGAATATAGGTTTTATTTTCTTTTTTTCGCATGCGTTCAGGAGTGCTGGACAGCTGGGATGGCAGGGGAGGCCCAGCTCCCTGTCTCTGGCACCAGGACCAATGGGTTGACATGATACCAGTGCTTGCACCAGGGTGGTGTCCCTCAGGATGTTCTTTCCCAGGGCATCTGAAGTCTCAGGAAAGGTTTCTTGGGTAACCTGCTCCCTCTGTTCCTTTGGACTTTGCTGTATGAGCCCTCAATGCAATATGCATCACCCACCATCTATCCAACTGTCCATTTTCCATCAGGGTTCCTTTCTGTATTTACTCAGATGTTGCTGTCAGAGCTCAGACCATGGGTGAGGTCATGTTTTGGTGCACGGGCAAGAGGATCAGCGCTGCACCCTTGGGGTGCTATGATCACAGACAGTGCATCTCCCATGCAGTGCCCCATGGCTCTCATGTGCCAACCTGCAGTCCAGCACCAACTGATCCCCAGAGCTGCTCAGGAGGAATCGGAACTGTAACAATATGGCAGTAAAAATTAATGAAAAGCCATCACTTTAAAATAAAAATATATATGGAAAAGCAGTTATTTATTTATACCTTGGGAACTAGGAATAATACACCTGCTTCGTAGGGATGGCTGGCATAAAGCTGGCATTGCATAGTGGTACTTAATAATTTTTTACCACACTTTATAGGCTCTTTCCTGCAATTAATGCTAAATAAAGTCAACATTTCTCCAACTTGCATTTCTGGCTCTCATTAACTCCCTTCATGCCATTCACCATCTCCTCTCCTGACATCTTTAATTCTTTTGTGTTTTTCTTCTAAATGTTTCTTCACTTCTTCATAGTGCCTGTATTCTTACCTGTTCACCTCATTTTTTTCTCTCCCATCTCTGACACTCCTGAGCATTCCACCTGTGAGCAGGGATCCAGGAGCACCAGACAGGACTGGGCATCCCTGGATGCAGCACCCCAGGTTGGGCTGGATGCAATGGAGAGGTGGGGAGATCATGCAGCACCATGGGATAAGGCTGCTCTGAGCTTTTGCAGGGGCTGTGGTATTTCATCCAGCAGCTATGTGAAGGGCTGAGTGCACTGCCACAATATGTCTGGCAGCAGTGTCCTGCCCAGGACCTGCTTCCTTGCTGTGAGCCTTCTCATTGCCTCCACACATCCATATCAGAGGTGGGAGCAGTGAGTTATTGTATGTCTCTGGAATCTGACTAATCTCAACTTCAACGTAGTATTAATAATTTAATGTTCCCTTGCATCTAACATTTTCTTGCCTCCCACGTAGCCTGATTAAAGGGTTAGAGATTTGCCTCAAATAATATTATCTTATTGGTTTTCAACTCTGCGCTTTAACCTTTCCAGGTGTTCCTGTTAGAGAACGTGGAGGGGACGAATGCAGCAAGCTCTTGTGAGAAAACAGGAACCTGTGATGGTCAACCCTTCATTGGAAGGGGATCCCTCAGTGCTGGATCTGGAATGTAAGTGGTTGCAGTGGCCTAAGTCTGTAATTACTGGAAGTCCTCTTCATACCTCTGTTGTTTAGCGTGAGTCCGTCTGTCTTTGCTGCTGTCCTCTTGTCTGTCCAACCTGAGCCAGAGTTACTGCTAGCTAAATGGAATGCTTTTCGTGCATCCCTGATGTCTTCAAGAGGCTGTAGTTCCAGTTTGTCAAGATGAAGCAGAAGGCCTAATTTTGGCACTATTCTTTAATAGTTGTCTTGCTTGGACTCTGAGTTTCTCCATCTTCAAAACAGGGCTGACACTAATTGCCTATTTGCAGTGTATTTCCAGACGCGTGGCTGTAAAGTGCTGTATGAAAAAAACAGGCATTGTTATTATGAAACTTTAAGGAAAAAAAATTAATAGATTCATATAACTCCACAGTCATTAAAACAAACCGTATGTGGATGGAAGAGACCAGAGCTGAATAAACCCTGAGCAAACACAGCCTTTCACAATGAAACACAAACTGGTTTTAATCAATGGTACCAAGTAAGTTTTGTTTTCCAAGGTTTCATTTTCCACCATCTCCCTCCTCCGGTATTATCAGCTGCAGAAGGTGATTGCTGCCTGACTTCTGCTCTTAATGAGTATCATTTTTAAACAACAACGTGCTCTGCTTGGGCTGCCCAGGTCTCAAGTTGCCTTCAGCTCCGCTAGGATCTCAGCCGCCCTTTGTGAGCACATCAATTTGTCCATGGGCCTTAGACAAAATTGGATCTAGGCTCTGTCAGATGGGATAGAGGGCTGCTAACCACCATCTTGCATTTCCCTTCTCTAGGGAAGCCATGAAGCTTTCTCCATTTTGCTTCAACCAAGGTTTTTCTTGTGCTTGTCTGGGAGGTAGAAAGAGCTGTCTGCTAGGAAGGTGATGAGGTTACACTGACTGAGCTGAGCAGCCTGGAGGAAGAACTGGGAGGAAATGGCCAAGCCACCTTCTTTCTGATGCTTCCTTTTTTTTTTTTATTTTATTTATTTTTTTTAGGAAAAGCTGTAATGCCTGCTTGTCAGTTGGTTTGTAGGCAGTAAATTCAGCGAGATCTCTAGCAATGAAATATATAGAAGGGGCGCTTTTGGGTGACACATGCATCAGCCTTATTCTTGTCTGGGAAGCCTCCAGTCTGTGCTGCTTTCCCTGGCTGGAACATGTGAGCACTCTCCTGGTGATGCCATCAGACCATGGGAACATGAACTAAGGTCAGGGATGATGTGCAGGTTGTTGGTAGCTGTAGGAGAGAAAGATTGTGTAAAAATGGCTAAAGTGTGTGTATGTGTATCTATTTGCAGTCTTGTCCCCTGCTAAGAAGTCTAGTAATGGTATTTTTTCACCTCCCTCTTTGTAAGTTCATTGGGATGTAAGAATATTTTGTTCTCAACTAAGCTAAGTCCATCAGTCTGCATTTGTTGCTGGCAAAGGCTATGAGCAGATGCACGTTAACTTTAAAGCAACTGCCAGCTTCTGGTGATGCTGAATTCTCCATTTTTTCAGCCCAGCTGGCCAATGCATATGTGCTAAAAGTGGTGATCTTAGGTTCAAACCTAGCCCAGCCTGAGGTTCGTAACAGTAGCACAGACATTTGCTGTCAACAAATACTCACAAATGGTGATGACAGTGCCCTAAGGCAATTTCCTTCTAATACTGCTTGAGATGATGAGTGACTCATACAAGCTCAGAAGCTTCCTCTGGGTTCTCTGGCTGGGTGGGATGTCCTACTGATGCTCTGAGGTTCTTGCATTTAGGCAGGACTTGGTGTCCTGTGAGTCCAGAGGATGAGCAGTGGGTTGTGGCTGAGCAAGAGACAAGGGAATGGCTGAGACAAAGATCTGTGCTGATGACACAGCAGTGGGATAAGTTCTCAATATGCAACAAAAACCTTATTCCTCTCCTCAGAATTTCTGCTTTTATTTATTTTTTTTTAATTTATGGCACTTCTGCAGACAAAAACTGCCAAATAAAATATATCCTGGGGGATAATATGGGAAAGGGAGCAGGGCAGGCAGGGAGGAGCAGTGTAACCAAACCCCCGTACCCAGTGCTTGCCTGCAAGAAGATCCAGCAGCTCTTGAACCAGTGACCAGCAGTGTTGCTTGCAGATACTTCTCCCTTTGAGCTCATGCATCAGCAGCATGTCACCAGGGATGGTTCCCTGTGGCAGATGGGCCGTCTGCCACTTACTGAATGTGTCAGCAATCAGTTTGTTATGTGCTCCATCCAATGCAACTCCAGTGCTGCTCACTGCCTTTACTCCTTCCATCCAACTCAGTGCTCCTGCACTGAGAACTCCTCAGAACCAGCCATGCCAGCTGGTTCTAAACCATCTAAATGGAATGGAATGGCTTTCTAGTGTGCTAGCTAATTAAGTCATAGAGTCATTGAGGTTAGAAAAGACCACTAAAATCATCTAGTCCAACTGTCCAACCATTGTGCAAGTCCCACTCTGCTGCTTGCAGCCCATTCACATTTGCTTGCTGCAGCCCACATGGACTTGGAGGCAGCTTGTGGTGTTCTGCCATGAAATGTTACTGGGGGGAAAATACTCTGCTCTTTGCAAAATTAGTTTTGCCATCAATATATTCTGTTAAAAATATCGGTCTCTCCAAACTGAAAATATTTTGCTTTTTCCATTGCCGCAGCTTTCTCCAATTTTCCCGTGGTATAAATAGAAATGGGATGCAGATTTTTTTTTTTTTTTTTAATTTAAATTTTTATTTTTTAACCTTGGATTCTTGTTTTGTGAAAAGACAAACATTTGCCAAGAGGTAAACACATCTGGCAAAACCTTCACTTGCTAAGAAGTCATCTGACTTGGAAGGATATTTCGGAGAGAATATGAGAACGTATCGGATCGACTCTGCAAAGGAATGGCCTTCTTCACTCAGTAAGTGGCAGAAAGGAAACGATTGTTCCTCTTGAACACAGCTCCAAATCTGCAGCTTATAATATTCCCGTTGATCTCCTCTCTTTTTTTATTTATTTAGCTCAGCATATTCAAATCCAATTTGTTTTTTTTCCCTTTCATTCTCCTGCTCGACTCCTTACCGTCTCATTGAGGTCAGCTTTGCAAAACTGTTCTTGTGCCATCTTACACCCAGAATGGTTGGAAAGGTGATCAGCACCAGTAATTTTCCACTTTCTGGCAGGCTCTATAATAAATAATTAAGAAAAATCATAAATAGCAGTAGTATTAGTTCACTGGTGCACATGAAGTGGCTGCAGTTTAAGGTTTGGTGTAGAAAAGAGCTGTGGGATTTTTTCTTTCGATGATGCATCCTTAAGGCCGTGTCTGTGTTATGCTTTTGCCATAATTAAATTATTGCTTATAAGAACTTTTGCTTGGTCAGAAGGAGGGAAAAAAACCCAACACAATTACAATAATTCCATTTCAGTGTTTTCCATAAGATCCTGGCCAACTTGGCCAATAACTAAGGCAAGGAACAGGGGAAAAAAAAGGTATGTATTGTATACTCACTTAAAACTTGGCTAGAAATGACCTTTTATTGTCTAATTTTTTTTTCCATGCCCAACTTGGCTACTGGAGACAAACTCAGTGCCAAGTTTCTATAGCGCATTATTTTCCTATGTATGATGTGTTCAAAAACACTTTCAAAAGCTTACCTCCAAGCATCCTACAAGGGTTTTGCATGGGTTTGGTGATGTGGACGCTGGTGTTTCAAAGCTAGATATGTTTTGCCTGTGTTTTTTTCCCCCACTTTCATCCCTTGTGTGGCCCAACATGGAGCACTCTCCAAATGGGCTGAGCTAGGAAATGTGGTGAAGGCAGTGCTGTGATTTTAATGTAAACCTCCTTTTGGAGTGGCCCCAGGCATCCTGTGGGCCTCTGGCTGGGGCATGGTGACATTGGTTAAGGGCATTCCGTCCCCACCTGGGTTGTGGCAATGTGCCCTGTGCTGAGTGTGAGCACCTCAATGGCTTTAAAGGCAAAATACAAGGGAGTGATGCTGAGTTTGAGCTTGAAGAGAGAGAACCAAAGCCCCCAACCAGGTCATTTTGCCTCATCCTTAATGACCTGTCTGTGATGTCATGATAAAAATAAGAGCTACTTTTTATGTATGTATTTGATTTCATTTCTGGTTTTTATGAAGTCCCATGATTGTTTTTTTTTTTGTTTTGTTTTGTTTTTTAGTGGTGTTGCCAGTTGCATCTGAATTGCTACAGACAGAAAGACAGCTGCTTGAAAGCAATAACAAGGGTGAGACTTTCACAGCTTTGATTTCCTATATGTATTTTGTCTTCTGTAAGCTATACAAAAGTAGAACTTCCAGAGATTCTGATCATGCAACTGCTTCTGAACATATTTCATTTGACTATCCACGGGCACAAGCTGAAGCTACCTATAGTACAGAGCCATTACCTCTGGCTTTTGAGCATACATGAGAAAACCAGTTATGGAAGCAGAAATAAAAGTGCAGTTTTCAAATGTGGTGCAGTTTTCTCTCTTCATTTTGGGACACCGAAGTTCTTTTACAGGCCTACCTGGAATGACTTTGGAGAAGAATCTCCATAACTGAGAGAGGAACCCAGACCACTGAAATGTGAAAGAAGGTAACTAAGTTGGTGATGGGTTCCTTTCCATTTTGTGATCATTCTGTTTTCATATGCTGGTCCTTGCTATGATGTAGATGGACTGACTCTTCATTTGCATGCTGGTACTGGGTTGCATATTTTACTCTGTGCTCAGCTGGGATTCATTTGGTATTTTAAATGTAGGTCAAAAAAGAGACGACTTGAAAGAAGAGAGAGGGAGAAGAAATGGCGAGAGGAAAGGTCGTGTGCAGTGTGCTGCACACAGATGGCTCCTTATGGCTAGGACATGTGGCAGAATCCAAGCTCAGCTGACAGTTTGTTTGCACGACGCAAAGCTCTTTCAGGGACTGCTGAGCTTCTGAAAGTCTCTGGGTGCATTCTGCAGGATGTTCACGCTTTGCTGACCTCGCAGAAGCCTTGAACGAACCGCAATTTCTCTACTTTTGCAAACTAGGTGGTTTAGTGCAGTGCTGAGAGGGGATGGAGATAGAACCAAACGTTCTGCTGTTTGCCAGGTGTCTAAAACCTGACTCCCCAGCTTGCCAAAGGGCATTTTGAGAGCCCGTCTTGCCTGACACCTCAGCAGGGGCAACGAAACTCAACAGAAGATCCCTGTGGATCAGCTTGTACCTTTCTGCTGCTGAAAGGCTGTGCAGAAAGCAAAGATGAAGCAACTGTAAGATTTATGTTGGAACTGGATCCCCATGGATCAGAATGTGAATAACACCTCCATCCCCTCCCAAACCTTCCAGACCTGACCTTTCACAATCACCATTTCCTGACCAGTGACTCCAAAGAAAATAGAGCTGCTAGTTGGTATTTAATGGAAATCTGCACGAAACTTGTCAAAATACACCACCATGCCTGTCAGATGCCTGGGACAAGACCTCTACAGTAGTTTCCAGAAACCCAGTGCAATTACTTACATTTTAAATTATCTTTAATTGTAGCGTGTGAGCTACAGAAACATTTCTTCCCCCCTGTGAAGCAAGACCTCGCTATTAAGAGTCACCCCCTAATTGCAGCTCTAATGGGGAGCTGGGGCAGGTCAGCACCAGGGTTAGCACAGGGTGAAGCAAGAGTGGCCACGGAGCACTGGAAAGTGGAGATGACACAGCACAACAGTCATAGAGGGGCAGCTTTTGTCAGCTTCTTAGCACACTTAATTACCCCACCAGATGTTCTAATCCAATCTTCCTGCCCCTCCCCTGCCAGCAAATGTGACTTTTTTTTTTAATGTTTCTGAGTGTGGACTCATAGGATGGCTTGGGTTGGGGAAGGGACCTTAAGGATCATCCACTTGCCCTGGAGTTTGTCTAGAATAAACTCAGTGAGTTGCTGCTTCTTGGGCTTTTCCTTTGCAGGAACTGAGCATCTTTTTGCTACCCAAGTGATTGCTCAGGTCTGAGTGTGGCTGCACACACGCTTGGTATGTGTAGGACTGAACTGAATCAGACTGAACTCATGGATTGACATGGATGTCACAGAGGGTGCAAGACTGATGAAAAATAGATGAGGTGGTGGTGCAAATCTGCTCAAGTGCTGAATGACAACTGTTAGCCTGGCAATGCTGAATTCAAGCAGTCCCTGTCAATAGTGTGAGAGATGCTGCACCAGATTTTCTGGGGTTGTTTGCAAATTGACCTAGTGTTCCTGCTGACACAAAACCTTGGAAGTGCAGCTAAGAGCAGCATTGCTGAACATGCCTGATTTGCTCACAGATTGTGGTCAGATGTGAGCACGAAAGCAAATACTTGCCAGTATGCATCTAGGAGAGGGGAAAATTGTGAATTAACTATGGACACAGATGCATGACGTTACCTTCCAGGAGCAGATGTGCAGCACAGGGAATGAACCAAGATGGGGAGGAGTTTCCTCAGTCAGTGAATTGGTTTTTGGTTCAGTGAGAACTCCGGATGTGCACATGCAACATGTTGACTGCATGCAAAAAATCTCCTCCTTTCTTCTTTCCTTAACACGAAAAAGAAAACCCACAAATCAAAAGTCTCAAACTGTTCTTTGTTAAAGCATCACTTGAACAATTTGCTTAATTTTCACCACTTACTGCATTAATTGCTGTTTTTTTTTTTCCCTTCAGCCCCATCCAGTTCCCCAGGCAGACAGCATTCGGATTTGTCTCAAGCACAGCTTCAGCCACACACCTGCAGGATGGAAACAGGCAGAGCAAACAATGAAACAAGGCTGTTTATAAAGCCTTCAACACGTCAGGCAGGGAGAAGAGCCCAAGTTTCCACGTCAAGGCCTAAACGGACCAGAATGACGCGAAACACATGGAAAATATGGAAAATGTGGAATAAGTAATAAAATTATAAATAAAACAAATACAATAAATTGGGAATGCAGTTTTACTCATAATGATTTGTGTTCCTAGTAACCCAAGACTCCCCTACCTTTGAAAACGAGCATGTTTTTCCAGCGGGGAGCAGAGTGCAGGTGATGGGGCTGCACAGGGCACTGGACCAACCAGAGGCAGAGGTGGGCAGCAGGGAACCAGGGCTGCAGCATGCCCACGTGAGTCCCTTCTGTGACAATGACTTGCATCAGGATCTCAGGAAAATCATTTAATCAGATGGTGGTTAGCATTAGTGCAGGAATTTTGGCCAGAAATGAATCTTGGCTTGTTCTGGACTGAGAAATTTGCACTGGTGTTGTTACCCAGCTGTAGTTCTCTTGGGTTGCTTTGTCTCCTGTGCTTGTCAGGCTGTTGGTGACAGCAGTCAGTGTGCCCCTCAGTGAATGGGTTCTCCTGGTGATACCTGGCTCTGGTGGGATGAAGCTTCTGGGCAATCCTTGCTATAAACACTGATCCTTGGGCTGTGGGATTGCACTGCTCTCATTAAACATTTTAATGAGGCTCTCTGTGATGACTTTATGTTCCTTCAGCTCCACAAAGGAACGCTCAAAAGCTGACTCTGGAAGAAAACAAGAACAGTAATAAAGTATGGTCTGCTTTAACCACTGTTGCTGTTCTGTTGTCTGGTTAACAAGTGCTGGAGTTACAAAATAAATAGGCTTATCAGCCACATGAATATCCACTGTGTTCAGAACAGCTCAATCGTTCAAAGCTCTGTTGGTGCCCATGGCAAAGGGCACCTATAGGGAAAGCCAAGAAGACAGAAGGAGCAATGGGGGTTGGACACAGCTGCCTCCCTCTCAATTAATTAGGCACCAATTTAGATAGATTCCATTGGGAATGACTTTGGCAAAAGTCAAGAATAAGGTTTAAATTCATGACTGGCAGCCTGAAGAACTTACAGTCAAAGGGGCAGCAGAAGAGTGAAGCAACATGCCCAGGGTCCTTCTGAGAACGAAAGCCTGCACATAAAGCAAGCTAGAGCCCTGTTGCAGACACCATGCCATGGATGATTAAATGCTGAATTGTCCCTTTGCTGTATGTCAACACCTTGGAAAAATTTCCTTTGATACCACTGTGATGAGTTGGTTTGCTGTGCTGGCATCAAAGAGTGCTATGAGCAGAGTATGAATTGCAGCTATTCTTCAAGGTAAAAGATTTGACTTTCTATTTCCCACTGCCACTGGGACCAATACGAGTCTGACTGGCCACTGTATGGTGAAAAAGTCCCTCAGTGTGCCAGTATTGAAAACTGTTTGTGCATTAGCTGGAGCCTTTGCCAGAGAAATAATATCATCCCCTTTGTTTATTATACTGAAACTTGATAAAAGAAAGCATCAGAGGGGGAAAAAAAAAGAAAATCCATCTGTGGTGTGAAATGAATGTTCTCGTCTGGACTCCAGGATGCAGCCATGAGCAGTGGCTGTGGCACCACCAGCATCCTATGGCAGAACCACAGCACAGGGCTGCAGAGGGACCTCAGCCCCACAGTGCCAATGGAGATGGTCCCCTTTGGGGGGCTGCCTCTTGGAGCCCAGCTGGCCATGCTGCACGCTGGTTTTCCCAGCAAGGCAGGCTCGGTTCTAAGTCCCACAGCATTTGAAATACTCCCACCACCTCCAGTATTTTTCTGGAAAAGCGACCATGCATTGGCAGCTATTTCTGGCTCCAAGGTAGCATTGCAAATTAACACATTTTCTGTTGAGAAAAGACCCTGAACCAAGCAAAGCAACCTTCTCAAATGAGAAAAGCAGCCTGTGTGCATTGTTAACAGGCTTGCAAAAGTTGATAGAACCACTTTACAAGAAGTACTAAAAACATCAGAGCAAAGCAAAACCAAGAACAAACAAAAACCCCAAGCTTAACACAGCTCCTGTACAAGAAAAGGATACAAAGCAACACACATAGCAGAAATATTGAGATTCCAAAAGTATCAAGCAGCAAAGGAGAGGAGGAAGCATTCGTCAGTCTGTTGGGGGCTTTGGGACAGTTCTTCCCATTTTATTTCACACTGGGAAGTGGTAGCACAGAGGGCTTTTATGTTATGACAGAGATCTATACGTTCATGCAATAGAAAATGGCAACAACAACACCAACAGCAACAGAAACAAAGGCAAAAATTCAGCACAATGTGGCATATATGACTCAAGGAAACAGCCAGTGCCTGGGGATGCCCTTGTGCTGCTCTGGGTGCAGGATCAAGCCAGCAGCAGCCATGCCACCACCAGCAGCAGCCATGCCACCACCAGCAGCAGCCATGCCACCACCAGCAGCAGCCATGCCACCACCAGCAGCAGCCATGCCACCACCAGCAGCAGCCATGCCACCACCAGCAGCAGCCATGCCCAGTCCAAGACCGTACTGCAACGCTGGTGGGGGCTCTCAGGGACCTCCATAGCACCAGTGGGAGCTGTGTAATATTTCTGTGCTAGCCATCACATCACTCACATTTACTCCTTTTGGCCCTGTTTGCTCCTCGAATAAATGTGCAGCTGCAGACGCTGAGCTCGAGCAGAAAGCTTAAGGATTTACATCCAACTGGGGAGAGGTGTATAGCAGAACAGCAGATCCTGCTGATGGGGATGCATCCTCCTCTACTTCCTCCCTCCAATGCTGTGGAGCTAACAATGCTAAAGTCTCCAAAGAGCAAAAGATGCTATCATTTGGGGGACCCATTTCAGCTCTTCAGCCAAACCACACCTAGGGCACAGGCTGCAGGCATAGCCTGTCTGGGATGCCAAGGCCAGCAGTGGGTCCAGGCTGAGTGTAATGCTATAATGTGATGTAAAGTATAGCAATAATAACAGAGCGGCACAACCCCAGGCTGCAGCAAACAAGAACAAGCCCAAATACAGCAGTTGTAGACACAGAAACAACGGAAAAAAAACCTGCTTACCTTTGAAAGGCCTTTGTTATGTAGGAACCTCCAGTGAGATACCCTCACCTCCACTGCCAACCCTTAAATGAGGGTTGGGAAGGGGTGGATCCTGGCTCCACCTCTTCTGGTCACTCAGGGGCATTGCTAGCACCTGAGCTCCCTTGGGTTGGCCCTGCCTTCCCACCAGGTGCTCCATCACTGCTTCAGGCTGTGACTTAGCATTTCCACTATACTGAGGATGAGCATTGCTCTGTATTTCATTCCCTGACATCTCTGCTCCATTAGCTCAGGCAGGCCCCAACACTGTGGCAATAAATGCACATCCATGGCGGTGCTTGCCTGCTGCAGCACTGTGCTCTGAAGTGCTTCTATTTGGATGAACAGAGTGATTCTGAATTCAAAAAAGGTTAATTATGGCTGCATTTTTCTGTGCTTGGTTTATAATGGACAGGGAGAGGCTATGCTTAGGCTCCCAGTTGAAGCATGAAGAACCATTCCCAATCCTAACAGGTCCCTAGGATGAGGCAGAGCCCTCTCTGCATTTCCACCACTGATGCACTGCCTGATAGAAGTTAGGCATCAAAAATAAAACACCCACCAAGCCCAGACATCAGTAACAGAGCACAGAAATCCATAACAGCAGCAATGCTCAGAGGGCTGCCCTATGCTCGCTGCGCTGGATGCTGGATGCTCTCCCATTCCCCAGCCATCAGCCCTCACTCAAGCTGCCTTTATTTAAGTGGTTGGTGCTTCGCAGATTACTTCCAGGCCCCTCAAGGGTAGAAAGTCTTTTTACCTCCTCCGGCCCTGAGACCGTTCCAACAGCTGTAACTATTTCATTTTTAATTTACTTGATACAACTTGTCTCTGCTTAATCCATCAGGACAACGTTGAGGGTTCCTGACCCATAAATTCAGGGTGGGAGGGTAGGGGGGTGCTGGGGGAAAGGGAAAAAAAAAATAAAGAAGGGAAAGGATTTTGAAAAATTGTGTCTAGATTGCAGCCAAATGTGTTCTCTTAACTCATTGCAAAATGCAAGGCTGGGACCTGGGAGCGAGGAGGGACCTCAGCTTTTATCACGGTGACACACATACACCCCCAGACGGAGATGTTTCATCAACTTAAACCTCTGAAATTTTTCTGGAATAGATTTAATTCCCTTTTCCCTGCTAACCAATTCCTCTTATTTAACACAGACACTAAAGTGAAAAATAGCACCTCACTGCAACTATGCAAATATGCACAAATGCACCCCAAATTTCTGAAGGCAACACATCCCATCCTCCAGGTGCCATTCCCTCTCCATTGCCCACTGCCTAATGTTCTCTGCATTGAGTAGGAAATGGCACTGCACTTAAACCAATCAGCTGACATTGGGCTGATCAGCTACGGGTGGGCATTGATTACAGGAAGCGCTTTGGGTGCTTTGATTACAGGAAGAACCCTGGGCAATGATGTGTGATTTAAGGCCCATCGTCACACATTGAGCAGGAGAGACCGAAAATAAGCCACAATGAACAAAATAATTACACTCTAAAATATTAATGCATACACAGAATCACTGAATCATTAAGGTTGGAAAAGGTCTAAAGATCCCCAACCCATCCCACCATGCCCACAAACACGTCCCTCAGTGCCACATCCACAGGGGTGGTGACTCCCATACTCCCTGGGCAGCTGGGCCAGCGCACAACTGCTCTTTCTGAGAAGAAATCTTTCCTAACAACCAACCTGAACCTCCCCTGGTGCAACATAAGGCCATCACCTGCCATCCTACTGCTGGTAGAGACCAACCACCGCCAACACGAGTGTGAATAACCACACAGCCACACCGTGATCACTCCCAAAACAAAGAACGCACATCAAGAAAGCGGCTTAGCTTTGGAAATCTCACTTCTTTGCAGTTGTCCTTGTCCTCTACCAGCTCCCCACGTGTGGACAGGAGCACCACAGGGGTAGAGCTGCTGTGAAGTGAGAACATTTCGAGTTGGAGAATTTTTCGGCCTCACAAAAGCCAAAAAAAATTCACCCCCAAACCCCTCTTCAAAACCCCACGTCTCCATTTCTCACTTTGTTTCACTGCAGTCTGTGTAACAATGC